CGGCATCATAGTCGGCATTATCAGAGAGTTTTGTCATTCGCCGCACCAAGCTAGGAACTCGTCAAAGAGACAAACGTTATGCCGAAAAAGTAGATAGATAGGTCAGGACAGAAAGAGTAGTGATAGTGCGTTCTACTAATTCGCCCTGACAACAGGAACAAGTTGCGACAACGAGGTCAACCCACTTATATCATGTTCGCAACTTTGGCATAGTTTTAACGTCGCTACAACTAATCACAAGCCCTAGCACCGAGCTACATTTTACCTTCTAACTTTGACGTTTGCAGGAGAAGACATGTAAAGTGTCAGAGAATACAGGCCTCCGTAACGCAGCGACCAAGTTACGTAAATAAATGAAGGGAGCATTTGTGGCGGTTGCGTTTGGCAGCTATTACGATCTTGATTGTTGTAGTTTCAGGGTCGACTGGTATTTTTATTACATTTTCTACGATTTTGTCGCGAGCAAGCTTAAATTTTGCGTGTAACTATACTTCATCACGTACTCTAACCGGCCGCTCTCATTCTTGGGCTGGACATGGGTTCCAACCGAAGTAAGGTCAAAACCCTTCGCCTCCACGGGACTCGAACCGCGGACGCCTTAGTCGCAAGGCAAGCAGACAAACAGCCAATCATCTAGACCATATGATCCTGTCAGCCCTATAGGATCATCTTTCACGGCACATAACCCATGGATTCATGGTTCGAGTCCCGCTAGGAGGGGAAGACGAGACCTGGACAGGCGCGAAACGATAGCCTTGCTTAGCGGTACAAATCGCCCTTTTTGACACACCTCCACGAAGCTCTCAGCAACTCGGGTTTTTTCCATCCTGGTCTTCTGAGCACCTCTCATTTGGATCATTAAGGCACTGACGAAGTGTCGACTTCGAATCTACTTCTTACGGCGCCACAGGCAGGCTGAACTCGAGCCAGTTCTGTTGTCTTGGGCCAAAATCTCGCCTTAGTCACGCATTCACGGGGTGTCTTCCTCTCTTTAACTGTTATTACCCTCAAGTCACGATGCTCCTCTTTCTTCGCTTTATGAACAAATCCATTTCTTCGTCTCTCCTTTATCATCGTCATCTCTCTTCTCTTCGCGCCCTACAAGTCATGGCAGCACTCGTTCACCGCTCCTCCAACATGTGCAGACTCGCTTTTATCTGTTACAAAGAGATTCCGTCTTATTCAATTGCTGCCTTGAAGCTCATCCTCAACATTTGTTTAAAAAGAATTTCAGATAATGAGACTTAGTTTCCAACCGAAGCGTGGCCACGCCAACTACGGTCGCCATTTTAGTGGACTCCTGATCGTCTTTCACCGCCTATCTTCTATCTCTCTCTCCCTACTGTGTATACCTCTGTATGTATGTATGTATGTATGTATGTATGTATGTATGTATGTATGTATGTATGTATGTATGTATGT